TTGGATAAAGACCGAGATGCTGGGACTGCCTCTGTGTCTAAGTAGACTTTGTGTGTGTGTGTGGTTTTTTTTTCTTTTCTTCTTTCTACTTGTTTTTTAAGACTGGATTTTCCAGTTTCAAGACTGCACAGAACAGGAAATGGTTAATTAAGAGTAGTAAGGGCAAAATCAGATGTTTTTGGTGTGATTTGAAACAAATGCCTCCCCCTCCCCAAGCTGATATGAATTTTTTTTTTGGGGGGGGTAGTGTAGAAATATGGAAAACAAGACGTGTTCATTTGTGTGCTTTCCAGATGATTTATAAAATAAAAATTTGGCTTGATGGTTGTGTTTCTTGTGTTTGAAACTGCAGATGATGATGCTCAGTCAAACTGGTGTGGATGTTTCTTGGAAATGAATGTCTACAACAAAACTATTTGTTGTAAATCGATGTTGCATGTTGGTGTATTTCCTTCTTTAAAATCTCTCTTGCCCCTGATCCCATCGTAGAAATGAATTAAAAAGTAGAGAATGTGTTAATGTTGCACCAGAAAGAATGCTTGGTGTGTAGCTGCCGCACCAAAATGCGCAAGCATGATAAACTGATTTAGGGCTGTTTAATTACAGGGATTCTTCAAATAACACTTAAGGCTGCAAATGTTGTTAATGGTTATAGGCGACCATTTTAAAGAAATACTTTAGAAATATTTGACCATAAAGAAAAGAAACTGCTGGTAAATATGTCACTTCGTTCTTGGCAGTGAATCCTTCAGAAACCCCCTCAGTTTTAAAAGTTTGTTTAGATTTTTTTTTTTGAAGCATCTCATTATATTCAAACCAAAAAATTATTACATGTGTTATGATTCAGAGGGTTAAAGAAGAAAAGATCCTTTAAAAAAAGTAAGTTCAGCTTCTCCTCCTCAAGATTAAGAACTGGTTTTAGGGGGGTGGTTAAGCCTCTCTGAAACTGAAAAGACCTAAGCAGATAGCATTAAAAAGAATGAATGAATGAATAAAGGAGGAGGGGTGAAGGGGGGAAAAAAGTGAATCCATCAGGCAGACATTCCAAATATGAGGAATGTGGAAGTGAGTCGACCAGAGAGAATGAAACCAAGTAATTGGGGGGAAATAGTGAGTTTGGTTGATAACAGCCAATATACTTTAAACTAAAAAGATTTGTGCGGGGCATTTTGAAGCAGAGGCGATTCATAAACAACATGTGTGTTTAGAAGAGTCAGTGAACTCTCAGGCAGGAGTGGGAATTACTATATGTTATTAATTATGAGAAGATTTAGTGTAGCATATAGAGAATTGGGTGGATAAATCTTGAATTGCCACTTCTTTTTTTTCAGGCTTTGTTTCAAATTAATGCATTTGCACACTGCAGAAGCAGTCTTTTGTGTGTGCATAATCTTGGCATTAATTATTCATAACGAAATATTTAAAAACTTTTGATAACAGCTAGTGTAAATTCTTTGTTCTTAAGTATTAACTTGAAAATACGCCTTCCTACCTAGAATTCTGTGCATTCTGTGAAAATTGAGCCGAAAGAAATGAGGTAGTTCTTTTTTGTGTAAAATAAAGACACTGTCTCAAATGCTGCGACAAAATATGTTTTTAAGCCTTTGTTCAGATCCTTCTCTTCCCCCAGAACAGGTCTGTTTGAGAAGTTACAGTATCTTTTAAAAATTAGCAACATTCTTGTTCACAACAGTGTGTGAAGATTGAAACACAGGATGAAAGCTACTTTCTGAGAGTGCTGAGTTTGATATCACTTCATTCGTTATTGTCTTTCTGTTAAGAGAGAAAAAAAGCAAGAATCTTAGTAGTTCTTTTCAGATCTGTTTCATGAATGTCCAGCTCTTAACTCAAAGGCACTTTTTAAATACTCATTTTACACCTCTGAGAACTGGCATAACTCGCAAATTAATACAGTTTGAGCCTTTCCAGCTAGAAAAAAGTAGAAATAATTTGTCATTGTCACGTCCTCCTGGAGTAAACTGCGTCAGTTAGGTTTAAAACTGAGATAATCTGCCCAATTTTGATAAACACAGGGGAAAGAATATGCTTAGCAACTTGCAGCCTGGAGTGACTGTTGACGAAATGCCTTGATGTCCCCCTCTCCAAGTAGCAGCTGCAGCTGGCAAGTAGGTAAAGAAGTTGCAATTTAAGTGCAAACTTTGTAGCCTCCAGTTTTGCACCAGCAGCGGAGGGGAGTCCCTCTTTGCTAAGAGTGTGATGACTTTTAATTTTAGAAGGAAAGAAGAAATCTGCCCCTCTGGAGGGCGCGCCTGGCCGTTGCGAGGGCTCGGTGCGCTTCTCCGCTTTAATTTCTTTCTGTCTTTGCCTTTTAGGTTAAGAAACAAGCAAACAAACCCCAGAGATACGGATAAGGGAAGTGGGGTTAAAGTACTCCCTTTGAAAAGCGAGACCTTTCAGAATTCAGAAACGTGCAAGATTTCTGCCCACCGCGTCCCCCTCCCCCTGCCCAAACCCCAGCAATGTTAATGTTTTCCAGAGTTGCCAGGAGGGTCTGGGAGAGTTCAGGAAGCGCGAGAGGCTGCTCGGCTCGGCCCGAGGTTAGCCCAGGGCTTCGCAACTCAAGGAGGAGGCAAAAGTCTCCCAGCCCCTTTTGCCCGTTCGGAGCCGGGTCGCTAAATCTCGCCCGCCCGCTTTTTGCCCCGTTTTCCAGCCCTGCTGGCGGCAGGGATGCGAGGTGCCTGCCGCCGAGCGG